ACAAAAATTTTAATTAAAGCTTTGTAATTAAAGAATGTCTGTGAAATATATTACGAATATAATGTAATTATATACTTACACATAAAACCCAATATTGTACCACTTGAATTTAGACATCTGGATCTCAGATTTTCTTGACATTGCAGTTAACAAGAAAATAATATAGGTTTTTATTTTTATTTTTTAAAGGATGTATGTTATAAAGTGGCAACTGGTCGTTTCACCAGAATTAGTATTTTACTTAACTAGCAGCTTTTAATATTTCCCAACTAATGAAACATGATTCCTTTTTGGTAGCTGAAAGGGGGATAGTTGGGTGTGTACATTTAAGTGTCATAGTTGTTGGCATATTAGCTGCCATGTCTCTGTTGGAAATCAACAAGGTAGAAGAGCTTGCCAGGGAAGAATGCTGGGGAGGGGAGCAGACGGCAGATAGTGAAGAGCAGATGGAGGCAGACAGAAGTAGGAGCAGCAGAAACGAATAAGAAGGGCAGGGACAGAGGAAGCTGCCCCCACCCACCCTTTATGAGGTGTGCTCCACGTGTGTGGCATGTGGCAAATAGTCCTCACATTTACACTGCTCTTGACAAACACATTCTAAAAGCAGACGGAGTTTGTGCTGAATGTGTTCTGAGGCCCACCCCTTGCTGCTTTAACCCCCTCTCGCCTTGTCCCATATCTCCTCGGTGATATCCATTAGGCTTCCAAAGGAAGTGCTGGCAGCAGCATTGGAGACTAGGATATCGATACTGCCATGAAGCTTCACAGCCTAAAGAGAGGGGTGAGGTCTGGACCAGGGCCGCAGTAAGTCAGGGAGGTGCATTTGTCCATGTTGATAAAAACTTCCTTTTGAGCCAGGCCCTGTGGCTCACACCGGGAATCATGGCACTTTGGGGGCCATGGTGGGAGGATCACTTGAGCTGAGGAGTTTGAGAGAAGCCTGGGCCACACAGTAAGACTTTTTCTTTATATTAAAAATGACAACAAAAACAATGACGACAAAACCTTCCTTCTTAGGAACTATCATCAAAATAACTTCTCTTTTTAAAAATATCTTTTCTTCAAAACTGCCCTAAGACCTGCTGCTAAGCATTTAAGGTTGGCTTCTTTCTTTCTTTTCTTAGACAGATTCTTGCTCTGTCTCCTAGGCTGGAGTACAGTGGCATGATCTCAGCTCACTGCAGCCTTGACCTACTAGGTTCAAGCCCTCCTCCTGCCTTAGCCACCCAAGAAGCTGAGAATGCAGGTGCGTGCCACCACACCTGGCCAATTTTTGTATTTTTTGTAGAGACAGGGTCTTGCCATGTTGCTCAGGTTGGTCTCGAACTCCTGAGCTCAAGCCAGCCGCCTGCCTCAGCCTCCCAAAGTGTTACAGGCACGAGCCACCAGGAAGTTGGCCTTTTTTCTTTTGCAGTGTTTTCTTCCCACCTCCTATTCTTCTAAGGCTGTCTCTGACCCTTTGCTCTTTTCTTTACATTTTCCCATTCGGGAACTTCTTCATTCTCATGATTTCAAGTCTCACCTCCAAATCTATTTCCAGTCCCCTCCTCTTCCTTTCACAGTGAGTTCCACCCCCATTTCTCCAAGTGCTTACTGTCCAGTTCTCCTTGAATAAGTTACCCTTATCTCAAAGTCAATCTGTCCACACTTACCTGAATGGAAAAACGGGCTTAAATAGAGCTGAAGAAAGTTACCCTGGAGGGGCCTTTGAGATCATCTATTCCAATGTCCTTAAGGTGGAGATGATGAAACAGGTTCTGGGAATTTTCTCAAGATCATATAGTTCAGTAGTGACACACTGAGGCTAGCTAAGAACAGGAAGCCTGCTTATTCTATGTTTGGGAAAGTGATTTGTTCAGGGCACAAAGCTAGTTAGCAGTGGAAGAACTGAGGTCAGTCTCCCATTCTGTAGCACACTGCTAATTCATAAGAGCCCTCTGAAAGTGAGTTGGGGTCATTAGGAAACTGACTGCCCAGGAGAGCCATGATGGGAGAAGATACCAGC